AAGTAGTTGTAGAATATTGCATTTGATGGCATGCTTTTGTGATTATTATAGTGCTGGAATTTTAGATTAAACTCAAGTAATAGACTGGGTTGAGATGAATGTAGTCTTGGATGATTTGTCCATGTAAGCAATGTGTTTGGGTTATTTTTTGGTTTTTGTGCGAGTGTGCTAGATGAACTGATCATCAAATGACGTGATAGAAATCAAATTTATAGATTTGATTTCTAAATCAAACGTTAAATTTTGAAATACATCTAGAGGAATTGGATAGAATTTCTTAAGGGGGTGTTTATATGTTGTTCTTGTTGTCAACTAGTGTTCAGAACTTTTAGATAATGTTGGAGGAATTGGAGAGAGCTTTATACAAATTTCACTGTTCTCTCTCTCTCTCTCTTAAAAAAAAACAAAAAAGCAAAAGCAGTGGATTTTTTTTTATTATCACGTGTTTACAGCTCTTTCATTTTCAAGATTTAGGACTATTGGTTGTCGTTATCTTCAAAATCTCATATGCACATAAAGGAGTAAATAAATGCGTTAATCTCTTGACTTATTCTAAATCATGTTACAGTCTTGATATTATAATTTTTGATGAATCTTACATGACTGTAGAAGCCTCTTAATTTTAAATATAACTGTATACAATTTTTTTTATGGCTTGCCATGGTCATGTATTCCAAAAAGAAAAAAGAAAAAGCCTCATCCGCAAAATAGCTTTTTTAGCAAATCTAAGTTGGGCTTGGGCTAAATAAAATTAGAAATTAGCCCAAACACAAAAAGGCTTGGTGGCCTAATCGATCTTACCTTTGACCCTTTCTCTCATCAGTATTAATGATTCTGCATGATGTACAAATTTAACAAACTGCAGTATTCAAAAGGTATTTGACTATTTGTAGGTTGGGGGATCATCATGTTTGGCCTACTAAACCCCAAGCTAGAAAAATTAGCCCGTGGCATGGCTGGGCTGACCTCAACGAAACAAGGCCTAACCAATACAGGGCCATGTTTGGCTAAGTACCAGAGGGGAAAAAAAAAAGGTTAAAAAAAGTAAATAATTTTATTTATTAATGTAAAAATAATTAATTTCATTTAAAATATATTTCATTGAAAAATATTGCTCAAATAAAAAGTAACCTTACTTAAAATTATGAATGTTTAAAAAGTATACATTATTTCAAGGAAAAATTAATCTTTTAATCCTCCAACTTTTAACTTACTTGTAACTCAATCCCTCAATTATGATTTTTTTTGACTCAGCCCCTCAACTATAACTCTCCTATGACTCAATTTCTTAATTTTTGACTCACTTTTAATTTAATCCTTCAACTTTTGTTAGCTCTATTTTTTTTATGTTAGTTTATATCCCATATCAAAAAGCAAGAAGAGGGTATTTTAGAGCAAAATATGAACATTTCTTTTATTTCTTTTATTTGATAAGGAATTTTTTTAAAAAAATAAAAAATAAGAACCGAGTTATAAATGAGATAAAAGTTAAGTGACTAAATTGCAGCAAGTCATAATTGAGGGACTGAGTTACAATGAGTTATAGTTGAGAGATTGAGTTACAGGTAAGTTAAAAGTTGAAGGATTAAAAGATTAATTTTTTTCTTATTTCAACATAACAAGTTAAAAAATAAATTTAAAATTAAAGGATTGGAATTCTAAAAAAACTTCATGATAATTATAAAATAAATTTTTTACATGATTGTACCGGTTTCTAATAATGTGAAGTTAAAAATTTTATCCTTCTTGATTGATATTACTAATTATTTTAATATTACTAGTCATAATCCATCAATCTCAACCCCCTTTTTTTTTTTATAAAATAAGGATAAATTAACGTTCTACAGCACCCATACTGTTACAATCACTTATGAGAATACATCTTAAGTTCTCGCCTGGATCATAAAACCATGCGCAATCTAGGCCATGTGCTCAGGGCAGCCTTTGCAAAGCAATTAGTAGCTAAATTTATCCAACAAGAGATTTGTGATATGACAATATCCCATTCATGATTCAACATTCCTCAGGTTTCCATAATGAGATTAGCATCCTCATGAGTATCCATGTTGCCTCCTTGCACAAGCTGAACAGCTTTTAAACAATCTGACTGAAGCACAATCCTGTGATACCCTGCGTCTCAGGTAGCCTTAACGCCTAGAAGAATGGCCCATAACTCAGCTGAAAGGCTGTGCCCCTCATTCAGTGCTGGCAAGAAACCAATGATGAGGAAATTGCATGTATGATCCCTAATAAACTAGATTTACATGAACTTTCGAATGATCTCCATCCATGCTAAGAGCAACCCATCCCAAGTGTAGAGGACACCAAATCTCCACAGGGGAGGAGAAGCCCGTCCCTCCCATTAGATGCTTACAAGCTTGGTCAATGAGCTAGAGATAGACGAGCAGATACCTTGAGCTTTTGCAACCAAACTTTCATTAAAGTGGTTACGACCTTCAAAAATGTGTTCGTTACGTCGTCCCTATAAGCACCAACATAACAAAATAAACATAGCATTCTAGTTAAAGGATATAGCTATGGATTTATCTCTAAGGTTCCAGCTTATCCACTCTTTTAACTCCAACCTGAAATACCTGTGCTGATGTTGAGGTTGCACTAAGTCAAGCCACATCTAAAGTACCTCACGACAGTCCCTTAGTACATGAAGCAAATCTTCCTTATACCCAAGACACCACGAGCAAGCGTTGCTTTCACATATTCCTCTTCTCAGTCAAGCGACATTGGTGAGTAACTTGTCTTGATAGGCAAGCCACAGTAAAGTCTTGCAGCTTTATGGAGTTCAGGCTTTCCAGATATAACGCCAAACCTTGTCCCTACTTCTACCAACATCCACTAAACTGTTATAAGCATCTTTGACTGACAGAGTACCACTCCGGTCCCCTTTCTACTGCACATCGAAACCTTTGTTAAGAACTTCACAACCATTATGAACATTCTCCCAAGTGGCCTTGATTCTTGCCCATGTATTCAAGCCATCACGTTTAAGATCAATTTTAGGCAATAGATCCTGGTCACATTTATATTTTTCTTGTATTATCTGCACCCAGAGGTGTCATGCTTTTTAATGAGACTCCACCCCAATTTCATCATGTATGACTGGTTTTGGATTGCAGCATGCCTGAGCCCCAATCCTCCACTAGAATGAGATTGACACAATTTGTCCCAGCAAACAAGGTGAATTTTCTTCTCAATATAGTTCTATGCCCCCATTAGAAGTTTCTATTGCTTTGGTCAAACTGTTCATAAGTGGTAGCAGGCAAGAAACCGTCTGCACAGTGTATCCTAGGATGGCACCATTGACAAACTCAAGTAGTGTTCATTTATATATGGAATTTATAAAATTATATTGTTCAAAACTCCTAAATATTATAATTCATTAGAAGGCCCCACGACAGTCACTCTTAGATTTGATGTTTCAACATAAAATAATGAAAGCTTACTTAATATTAAGTTTTAAAAATAAATTAATAAACAAATTTTTGATTAAAAAATTATACACAATATGATGGTCACGTTTGGTTATAAGAATTTTGACTTGTGGAATGGTAATCATATCTTCATTCCAACCTTACTTATATTTGATTGCTTATAAGAGGCATGGAATGACCTTTTCCAAAAATATGGTTACCATATTTTTGAGAATGGACAAGCTTTTGAAAAATGAAAGAAATCATGTCACCCACATTAAATTCAATATTTTTTGCCAAATGTCCTTGTTAACCTTTCATATTTGGCCTATTTCCCTCTATTTTTTTTTTCATTTTTGCCAATAGCCAATTTTCTAATTTTTTTAAGATGTTTTTTCTTAAAAAATTAAATTTATTAATGTTTTTAGTTTAAATTGTATTTATTATTTTCTCTTTAGAATATTTTTAATCTTATAAAAAATATTTTTTAAAACAAGTTTTTGAATTTAGTCAAATTTTAAATTTGATTCCTTGTGTATGCTATTTTATATATCTTTCTTAATATTTTTCTCTGATAAATTAAATTTAGATTTAAAATAATTTAGTTTTTTTAATAACGTTATGCGTGTGGGTATGAATTTAAGCTAAAGGCCTCTAGAAAACTTTCGAACGAAAAGAAAATAAGGCAAATGCATTAATGCAAGAAATAATATAGTTGTGATCTTTTTATTTTAATTTATATTTAAGTTAAACAAATAATATAAATAAACTTCATTCCTACCTACTTAAGAACTCTACCAAATAAATTTATAGTTATGATCATCCCATTCCTTTTTATTCTCCTTGATTCCATTCGTTCCGTTACATCCTTTTTCATTAACTATACCTGACCTATATGTTCAAATTATATAATGTAACTCATACAGTAAATTGAATATAACTAACCAACATTAGTCCTAGTGAAGGGATTACAGACGTTTAAGCATGATGTCTCATGTTTAAGTTCGTGCGAATGCATAAAACATCTGTAAAAAAAATTACTTCCAATTAGATAATTCTTGAATCAAATTTAGTCAGATATTCAAATAAAAAAAATACATGGATACATACATTTATACAGAATTAACAAAAAAATTAAAATGATTCCATTAAGACGGGATAATTTATATAATCTGATGTTGCATATATTTATTTAAATGAAATACATGGAATAAAATGAAATGCCACATCACCAAGCTCTAGGCCAAAACGAGCGCGTGACTGACGCCATTGGAGAAAAATCAAAGTCAAAGGCTGTTGGGGCCACAACTTACACACTCCCAGCACGAGCCTCCTTGCACCTGGTCTCAGTTCCTGAATTATCCTTAAACTACAAAAAAAAATACCACATTATCACGCTGAGATTCCCAATTGTCTCAAGGGCAAAATAGAAACAAAAGACATTTTCGATTTTTCAAATCTTCCATGATACGAAGATGGTGGTTGCATGGCGATAAGCCGATAACCATATTTGCTATAAAACCTCACAACTAAATCGCCGTCATTGAGAAAGGAAACAAATAACTAACCAAGAAAGAAAGTTATGGCTTCTTGTTTGTGTCCTTGTCCATGTAATTCCAATCTCAGGTTGCTCACCATCTTCCTCCTTGTTCTCTTCTCCACAGTGTCGCCGAGTGTCGCTGCGTGCGAGTCTAAATACGAAGGAACCTGCCATGACAAAAGGCAAGCGTTGAAGTTCAAGGTCATAGCCATATGTTCAATATTGGTCGCTAGCATGATCGGCGTGTGTCTTCCCGTTTTTTCACGCTCCGTTCCGGCGCTTAAGCCGGACGGGAATTTGTTCGTTCTGGTGAAGGCTTTCGCTTCTGGCGTTATTCTGGCGACCGGGTACATGCACGTTTTGCCGGATTCCTTCGATGATTTGAGATCTGAGTGTTTGGCCAAAAACCCTTGGCACAAGTTCCCCTTCACTACATTCGTGGCAATGCTGGCCGCGATTTTCACTCTCATGGTGGATTCATTCTCGATTGGCTACTTCAGGAAGAAGATCTCTAGTAATGCTGTTGAATCAGATAATGTTCGTGGAAATGAAGCCAAGGAATTAGAGCAATTTGGCATTGGTCACGGACATTGCGGAAATGAACATTTAAAGATCAGTGAGGGGCAAGAACAGTTGCTGAAGCACCGTGTTGTTGCGCAGGTGAATTGATTACTGGAATATGTTGCTACATGTTCATAAAATTGTTCAAGCCTTTGGGCTTTCCACTGACGGAAATTTCATCGATCGTCTGTCGTTTCCCAAAATACCAAATTGATAAACGATATTGAATTACTGCTTCTGGAATTTAATGTATCATTGTAATGTAATGATTGATGCAGGTGTTGGAGCTAGGGATTGTGGTGCATTCAGTGGTGATTGGATTATCAATGGGAGCTTCAGAAAACCCTTGCACCATCAGGCCTCTCATTGCTGCACTCTGCTTCCACCAATTCTTTGAGGGAATGGGCTTGGGTGGCTGCATACTGCAGGTGATCTATCTGGTTCATGTATTCCCGTATCAATTCAAGATCGATTCAGAGACTTAATTAAATAACTGAAATTTGGGAAAAGAAGAAAGTAAATAAAAATGTAGAGTTGAAAATTCCACTCCAATTTAAGGTTTCCCCCCTTCTTTTATGGCTCTACCGATTATAAAAGTGTTCTTAGATCACCAAAATTCCAAAAATGGATTTTTTTTTAATAAAATGATACCAACAGAAATAAAATTTACTGATATGATAATATTATTAAACCAAGATATATATTTTTTAAAAAATTAAGTGACAAAAATATATGATAAGGGGAGGCACTTTCTACCCTATCAAACAGGTGCCAGTGGCATGGTAGAGACACGAACAGAAATTCAACTTATAAGATTAATAGCAACATTTTTATCCAATTATCAAGTCATTAAATTCTCTGAGTAAATAGAAGAAAACAAAAAGTAATAGTACGATTGCTTCGTTTATTATTATTAATATTAATTTTATTATTTGTCTTTTCTCTTTCTTTTTAGATTTTACCATGGCCACTCAACTTTCATCCTCTTTTTTTATTTTTACAAGGCACAAAAAAATAACCATGCAAAAGTTACAGAAATCAAGTCATGTTAGATTCTGAAATAATCTTACATGTTGTTGGTTGTTGATTAAAAATAATAAAACTTAAATTGTCTTGAGATACTTGGCCTATTAATATATCAACATATTTGTTAGGTTCTTAAAAGGCATGATCAAAACTAACTATCTAATTTTTCATTGCAAACTGCTTCCATCAACTCTTTGAGCTATACAAGACACTCATCATTTTACATTGTAAAAGATATTCAAAGGACCACTATACATAGTTGCCAAGTTAGATATGAATATTTATTTAGAGGAGTCGTAGTTATGCAAATTGGCTTGCTCAACGTGTTCAACAATAGGAATGGGGAGTTCGTGACTTTGCAAAACCTCGACTACATTGTAGAAACCTTATGAATTATGCTGTCCTTGTATACACTCCTTAAGGTTCCTTTACTAGCTTTCGGCACTTTCCTTGTATTTTTTTTTTAAAAAAAAACATCTTTGAGGTGGCTAGCTGTTATCTATTATGGGGTGAAACAGGCTGAATATGGACACAAGATGAAGGGCATATTGGTTTTCTTCTTCTCAGTAACAACCCCATTTGGGATTGCCTTAGGAATTGGGCTATCAAATGTGTACAGTGATACGAGCCCAACCTCTCTCATTGTGGAAGGCATACTAAATGCTGTATCCGCAGGGCTTCTGAATTACATGGCACTTGTAGATCTGCTGGCGTCTGACTTCATGGGTCCTAAGCTCCAACAAAACATGAAGCTCCAGATTTGGTCATATGTTGCTGTTTTGCTAGGCGCTGGAGGAATGTCCTTGATGGCTAAATGGGCTTAGGGCATACCAAGCTTTGTTAAGTTTACTGCTCTTCGAAAAGAGAAAAGAAAATTGATCGCCACATTGTTAGAGCAGAGACTTTCTTTTTGATATACAGACTCAGGTTCTTTTTTTAAGAGAAGCCTCCTCTACCTTTCATTTGGAGTAGAAGTTTAATCTAAACTACTTAGATTTAATTTGAATAGTCCAAATTTAATATTTTTATTTTTTTTATTGTTAATTTATATTTTTAAAATAAAATATATATATAAATTATAAAAAATTTAATAAATATACTTATCAATATCTCTAAATTTATTATTGAATTTTTTAATAAATTTACTATTCTGTTCAAAATATATTTAAATATCCAAAATATGTCTAAAACATCAATTTAAATTTTTTATTAAATCTGAATTGTTCAGATTCATAAGTATATTTATTCAAAATTTTTAAAATTTTTATGTATTTTTTATTTTAAAAATATAAATTAAAAATTAAAAATAAAAATATTAAATTTAAATAATCTAGATTTACCTCTGCCTCAAAGGAGAGGCAAAGGAGGCTTCTCTCTTTTCTTGATATACACTCCATGCATATAATTTTTTTTTAAGGGAAAATGACAGATTTATAAAATAGTACATTTTTTTCCTCAAAATTTATCATTATGTAACATGTAAAAAAAAAAAAGTACAGTCTATGTTGATAACTCGAATGGTAAACTGATTTATGATTTCTTTGTGATAAAAATTCATTCAAATTAATTATTGAAACTTGTAATCACCACCAAATCAGTTTTATTCAAAACATGCAGGAGTATTAATGTTCATAATGATAACATTTACATTAATTAGTGAAATTTGTCCATAAAATTTTAAGATTAAAAAATGATCTGATTAATTCTAAACAGATGACAATTTTTTAAATACGAAATATTTTCTAAAAAAATAGGAGCGTTCATAGGGCAGGATAGGATTGGGACACCCATGTCTTGTGTCCCGTCCTGAAAGAAGATTGAAATTTTAATCCCATGTCTCGTCCCATTCCAAAAGTCATCCTATCCCATTAGGAGTCGAGATAGGACCGGGATAAGATTGGGACATCCCGCTGTCTCGATAAATCAGATAATATCAGAGAAAAATTTAAATAATAACGTTCATTAAAAGTTTAAATCATATAATTTATTAAATTTAAAATTAAAATAATACAAGTACATAAATCACAACAATTTAAAATCAATTATTGAATTATATTAATCACAACTACACATTATAATAGCAAATATAAGTGATCTTTAGGCTATAAAACTAGCAATAGCAGATAAATCAAGCACAACATCAAATCATTATTCTTCTACTTTAGTGGAGATGTAATAAGCTAATTACTCTTATGAAAATAAAGCAAGAAATATGTTATAAATAAAAATTATTAAATAGATAGATATAAGAATAAATTATATTAATATAATTAATATATTATAAAGAAACATATTGCCATGTTTACTCAATGTCATTAAAATTATCAAGATAAAAAATTTTAGTTTTAAATAAGAATTGCAAGTATTGAAATTATAATTGATATAATTAATATAAGTATAAATTACATCAATATAATTAATATATTTAAAATAAAAATAATGTATATATAATATTCGGGACAGGATGGGACATTCTGATGGTAATTCTATGTCCGATCCGGTTCTGAACCTCTTTCCTGTCTTGTTTCGATTATTTTCGGGCCGGGACAAGATCCCTTCTAATATGATTCGGATGACACCGAGTCAATCAAGACGAGTTAAAGGCCCGAAGTTGAACACCCCAGATAAAATATATTCACATTAATACTGAAATGTCAAGTTTTTCTAACGTTTATCTCGTCCGGTGAAAATCCAATCCAAATATACATTAATGAAGATGTCATGAAATTATTTATTTTTATATGATTTTGGTCGGAATGGTCTTCTAATAATTCGAAATTAATTTTCTCAATGAATAAACCAATTAAAAATAGGAAACACTAGAATTACATGGACAATTCCAGAGCCCTTGATATGAAGAAGATGAAAATTTCAATTTAGTGGAAAAAAAGAATTTGCTCCACTCTGTTTATGATGTGCCTCCACACGCGCACACACAGTAATGATTTTTCAATATTGAAAAATTGAAACCCATGAGTAATGACATAATTTGTTAATCATATCGTAATCAGAAACGAGGGTACCTTTTTTTTTTTCAACATGTAAAATGGATATTGTTCTGCTGGTTTTGAGTAATATGTCGTTTTTCTTTTCGGCCCAAAACAATATAGATATTGTTCAAACTGGATGCTTTCGTTAGCAAACTGTGGACGACAGTGGATCAATTGTATAATGCGACACAACAAGCACAGATAATTGAGACAGGATTATATTTTCTCTCGAATAAATTTCTGATATGATCGATCTCTTTCATTCTCTGGAATTCTTTTGGGCAAATTTGCAGTAAATGGGTCGATTATTATTTCAACCAGTAAATGGGTCACAATGAACGGGTGACAGAGGAACCAGAAAGTCTTCAGCAATCCATTAAATAATAACAAATATTAAGCCAATTACTTGATGGGACTACTTGTTCAAATGGCCATGGCAACAAGACACAAGAGAATAAATATTATGAATGTATTCAAATATTACGTTTGAAAAATTGAAAATTTAAGAATTTGTAATATTATCCTAACTAATTTGAGTTCTAGTCAGATTGACTTTAAGATGAGATATTTTTTCATAATTATTTAATCTTTTTTACTTAATTTCAATTTTAAACTCAAAATCAATGTAATAAAAGGTTGAAAACTAATTATTGAATTGGTTAAGGCATTGGTTCAAGAATTAATGATCAAAATTGTAATCAAACTATAATTAAGTTTACCTGATTTTTGATGTCATGCTCAAAACCTAAACCAAGAGCCATTAAGTTATTCCCCCCCCCCCCCCCCCCCCAAACCTAACTAATGTTGGTTAAATTTGTTTGCATATGTATTGGGATTTATTGTGTGCCACACAAAGCCTACTAAATGGGGTTGATGAAAGAGGAGGGCAAGTGACAACACATCAGAGAGACAAGACACAAAAAAAATCAAGAGCAGGGAATGGAGAGAAGCCTCATAATGTGGGATTTACTTTGTTCATGGCTTTTGGGAATTAATGCCTCCTGTATCCCTCCTCCATTCACAAATGGCAAACTCAGTTGGCCTCATCTGTCTTCTTTCATAATTTCCCAATCAAACTATCACTCATTGCCCCTCTCTCTCTCTTTCTCTCCCTCCAACCATTTCACTCTTTCTTTTACTTTCTTCTCCATCCCACCTTTCCCCCACACAGTCTCTAGTCTAATTTCTCCACTATTCAAATTTTAAAATTAAAAACTAAGCAATAATAGGTTTTATATATTATACTTTTTTTTTTTCAGGTGAGGTACAAGAAGCATGCTTCATCAGTAAATTTTTTTTCGAATATTGAGGATAAAAAGTAAATCCTTCTTACCTACGTTGATACATATATAAAAGTTGGATTTGAGATTTTATCTCATATTATTATACTATTTATGACTTGTAAATATAAAAAATTCTTAATGATCATCAATCTCATTGCATCTTCTTATTGGTAAATTAAACTTGAAGATATTACATATTGAATTATCAGACTTTTTTAGGTGATGGTCAAGTAGTCAATCCAATTAGGATGGCATAAGTGGTAGTTTAATTTAAGATTAAATTTCAATAAAATTAAGTTAATTAATTATAAAGTTTCACGAAATAAATAACTCATTTAGTTTTTTATGTGATATGATTTAGTTTATATTTCTTCACTCTTTTTTTTAGAACTATTTATTATTAAAAAAATTAACTTGACAGTGTTTTCACACTATTAATTATAAGATATTGTAAAAATTAATCTCAACAATATATTTGCTAGTTAAAAAAAAATGCAGTTACACTTGGTATTGTTAACGCATTTTAAAATAAAAAATATTTGACTTCTATTTGTTGACTGTTATGTTAAATCAAAGTTAATGTCGTTTAACTTAATTTAGCTTGCCATGAGTTTTAAAAAATTTTATCACCTAAAAAAATAGTTAGAAGTTCCAATCTTAACTATTATTTCTAGCTACCTCTGGCCATAATATTCCAAAAAAGATTAAACCTTATCCAAAATATTCCTTGTAACCCATAAAAAAGTGATGATCTCATGCATAAAATGGATTTTGACTGTTGAAATCTTATTTATTATCTTAAAAAATTTTCACGCCCTGTAATCTGAATTTAATTTAACTTAAGTGGATTTAATAATAGAATGATTGGATTTAAATTGATTGCATCAACTTGATTCAATGGCAAACGTATCCGATCTATCCTAATAATAACCCTCAATTAACTTAAATTGTGATTGGATAAACATGGGTTTATGGAGGAAATTAAGTTAAGTAGTGGTAATTCATGATCCTTCGAGGTTGACATATGCTTACGCCACTTTGTTCTCTTTGTGTTGTGTTAGGTTCAAAGACAAGGATGATAAGTAGAGCAGAACCAACTTTCATTTCATGCGCATTAATTAATTACTATTATATTTTTTTAATGCAATGGCGTGCCTATACGGTATTTGAATTTTGGTGTCACTACATAATTGGCTTGTTCTTTGGTGCATTAACTTTACCACTTGTGGTTTCATCTTTCATCTAGTTGAACGTGCGTGTATGTATATATATATATATATATAATCCTCCTCTCATCATTCTCAGGCAAACTAGAAACAATATTTTTAGATGTTATATTAAATATTGAGTGAGATGAGAATTGGTAAACCTGATATTCTTCCAATATGGTATATATAATATAATCCGCGATTCATAAATGTTAGGTATATTTTTAAAAGATTAAATATTAAAAAAATATAAACATTTTTAGTGTTCTAAAATATAATTGATATATATTTTTTAAAAGTATCTTTAATAAATAAATTATTTTATATTTAATTTTAAATAAAATATTTTATTAAATAAGAATAAATATAAAATGGTAATATTCGTTTGAAGATAGTTAATGGAAGGAGTAACTT